CACATCTTATAGACTGTAATTTTTAATTTTTAGTTTTATTTTTATATTCAATTTTTAGACATTTCTGCGATGTTATGTGCATTACTTTACTTCCGGCAGCAGTCGGGTAGTTTTTTTTTAAACAATTTTATTTTTAATTATAATTTTTTATTTATATTTTTTGTTTAATGGTTTTTTAAATTAAAATTTGTGTTTAGTTTTTTAATTTTTCATTTTTCAACTTAATTTTTTAATAATTGTTTAATTGTTTTTTTCATTAAAATTTGTGTTTAATTTTTTAATTTTTTAGTTTTTTAATATAAATATTTAAATAATTAAAACTGTATTGTCAAAAATACATTTAATTTTTATACAAAATTATTTATACATAATATAAACTGTTACTGTAAAAATTTAAATCACCTGAGACACTTGCAAACGATGTCGAAGCTATATCAGCTAAAGCGGGATTAGCATTTTCTTTAGTGGACGTGTTTTGAAGCACTTCGTATTTTTCAATATATTTTTTCGGGATTGCCAAGACATTTTTTCGACAACCGGAGTGATATCCGTGAACATCGTCCACACAGTCAGGAAAAACGATGTCACTGTATTTCATATTTAATGCAACACGAATACGAAGCTTTTCGCGGCACTGCTGCAAATTTTCTTCGGTAAATTTTATAATTTTACCGTAAACTGCTTCACACTTAAAAACACATGTCAGCTTAGAACTCATTTTGTCGTTTTGAAAATTTAAACAAAATTAAAATAAGAAACTAAATCTACGATGTTGTAGGCTCCGAGTTACAAGCCAAACTGCCGTCTCGATCCCCTACGAAAGTGTGCTTCTCCCTGCCCCTGGTTTCTCTTTTCAAATAGCAAACCGTCATTTCAAAGCGAAGGATCGAAACAGAGAGGGAAGAAGAGAGACAGCAAACAATCGAGCAGATGTTTGCTCTTTCGCCCGTGAAGCGGCCCGCAATTCGTATACCTGAAACGCAGGTCAATGGCTGAATGACATTCAGAGCTGATACACATCTCTCTTGTAACGATCCCCTCGTAAACTTTCTATTCGACTATTTCGTACTTTTCTCGAAAACTCGAAAATTCAGATATTTAGTTTTCACTTATATTTAAACGTTTCAATATGCTTTGTTTAAACATAATAAAAATCACGCAGAATGTTGCAAACGTTACATAAATTATTAATTAAATTTATGAATTATTCTTAATTGACTTCTGATATTTTAATAATAGTTTCTCAAGTCCCCTTTGATTAATCAGATAAATTGTCAGAAATGTTCTAAAATATGTACGGTGTGAAAATTAAAAGAAAAGCGATCGGTGCTGCGCCGCACACCGAAATACGCTCTTGCACTTCGCATCCGATTTTCTCATAATCTCTTCTACTTTAACTTCTGACACTTTGCACATACTTTGCTCTATACGTAAACAGTGTAAATTTAAATTGTCAGAAGTTTTCTTTAAAATGTAAATTTTCCAATATTTTTCGCAACTTTGGCAGCTTCTGACAACCTTTTTAGCTTTCACTTATCCTTCTGACAATTTTT